CTTGAATCTTCAGAATTTGCTCACACTTTGTCTACAGGGGTTAATTGACATGCTAATTATGGATATGACACGAATATCATGTTATCACTATTATCAGATTACCCAATTACGACCCCCTCCCCTTCTGACTTCTCAATACGACCCCCCAGGTGTGGCGTGCCGCACCCCACGCTTGACCCTGATCATTGGACTGAAGCTTATAATTACACTGAGCACCCTGGCAGTAATCACAGCCCTATTTAAGCTCACAGGCTACACGGATGATTTTATTGTAGCTGCGGGTCTAAATTTCTGCTTAAAAAATAGTCTCATAACTCTCCTCCCAAAAGAGCTTTGCAGATAACGAAAGCAGATTTGAAATCAGTGTTCCATGCTTTTTAATACAATATACATTTCATACTGGAACGCCATTTCGATCAAGATTCTTTCCCTTGTGAGAAGGTTGGAACTTGTACAACTGTTCTGAGAGGAATCAAAGATGTAGGCAAAAAACACTCAATATTATAACGCTTTCCTCGGAAAGGGATTCTTACACGTAACCATTGCATAGTTTATTGAAGGACGAAATGATGCAGAAATCTTCGTGCATGTAATTCCTGATAGTGCTCTGTAAGGCACAAGTTATTTTTAAAATAATGGTTTGCATGTTTCATGAACAAGCGTCAAAAAGACTTCCACATGATGATTTTGTGCATACGCGTATATGCACGAAATCATTATATGGGAGTTTTTTGACATTTATTCAAAATGCACGCACATTTTTTTGCAAAATTACTTGAATCACAGGACACGTCAGTGGGAGGGATGTCATCAATCGAGACGCAGATAACTCGCAATTAGATTACTGAGTGCAAAGTTTACAGTCAAACCCGTGATTGTCTTCAGAATTGCTTTTCTTCGATTATCCACAAAAGAATGTCTGCATAGACAGAACTTGTTATAGTAAGCAGCACGAGTAGTACCAACTTGACTTTGTTCATATAACTGTTGGTCAAGCCTTTTTACCAAAGGTCTATGAAGGCTTTCTGCTACAACACTAATGAGTATCACCGCCATAGCGCTCTATTTTGGATCATGATCAAGAAATGCTAAAAATTCTTGCGTTTTAGGTAATGATATTGGATTGCATGGAGGCAAGTCTTTTAAGCTAGAGTGGCTAGTCTGCGAATTGTCATGGTTTGCCTACGAAATAATTCATTCTCTAATGCCGTTCCGTTGCGGAAATCAGAGGATCCAGTCCTCGCTCACTTCGAGAAACACATATTTCTCTGTATTATTTAGGAATACACATCGTGAAGAGCATACACACTATGTAAAAAAATTCGAGGGAATTAGCATTACACGTTATTTAAGGCAGACTTTTACAGCATTTTTGGTACATCAAAAAATTTGCTTAGCCATATTCCTTCTCATATACGCCAGTATTACATTTTTTATGACTTTTTTATAACTCTTTCTTCAACTGAGAAGATTGTGCTGAAAGTTTCTATCGAAACTCCGAGATTATCGCTTATAGCTAATTTCATGAATGGGATTGCCGCTACGACATGAGGCAGATTAATTCCAAAGCAGAAGGTTCTTTTTTTACTCAGCATATTGTCAACAAAATCTTCAGAAAATGTCTCTTTCTCCTAAAAAATTCTTGCCAATGTTGCAGAAGATAATGAAGCTTAGAATGCCATGTACTTAAAAGCACCGCGTACAGCATTACAGGGCGATAAATACCTAACCAAACCAGAACGCAAACTTTTTCGCGTCTGCCGCTCTCCATTCGACAGAAACGCCGACGTTCGGGTCCGTTGGTATATGGGCTTGTTAACAGGTGGACGCTCGATCTACAGTCAACGATGGTTTTGACTCACTTCCGGGGAAAGGGGGTGGAGTGGGAATCGAAATTTTTTGCTTTGTATAAGTACAGAAAAATGTCCATCCGCATTGCAGCTGTACACAGCTGAATGATCCTCCTGCTTTGCCAATTTTTGCAAATGACTCGAACGAGTTAGATGCAGGCATTTTTTGAAGCAAAGGGAAACATCACAAGCGTTTTTATCAATTTCGTTTCTGTATGCCGCTCGTTCCCAACCTTGAAATTATGAGATGCCACTATTTTTTTTACATCAGAAATCTCCGAAGTCCATGCGTTTATTACTTAAAGCTTCTTTGACATGCTGCATGTGAGTAGTTCATGACATGACAATTACAAATCAGTCCACTCGCAATAACAGAAAAGGAGAAATTTTTTCGTTGAGCACTTGAAGGTTGACCATTTAGTTTTCCCTTCCAACTAACCTAGGTCCAACGAATCAACAAAAAACTACTTTTTTTCGTTTACTTTATTTGTGGTAAAAAGGAGGAAAAGATTGAGAAGAGGCATTTGGTCGCTGAAGGGTGGTAGTTTATGTCTGATAGCTTGTCAAATTGATGTGAAGATGGCACTTAAATTAATAAGAGGAACTTGCGACCATTCAAGTTCTGCGCAACGTGCCCTTGAAAAAGAACTATGGTTTTGGAAGTTTTCACACTGAAGGTTTGAAAGTCAATGGAAATTTTGAAAGCTTATATCAAAGACATCCAGAACATCGCAGTAGTGTCAAATTCATTGCGGAGTTTGGAGTGCTGGAAAGCACTTGCCGAGCTCGTGTACTCTCGTGTAAGTGCTATGTTGGAACCAAAAGTTCTGACACTCTTTTTAGATTCAAACATTTTAGACCCATTTCGCAAAAGCGGAAATAGTGTGTAAATTCTTTCAGCGCCAATCAATCATGGCTAGAGAGATGAGTTCAAAACAGTTTCTTGTTGACTCAATGGACCCTCGTGAGAACTCGTGCACTAAATAGCTGCCTTCTGTTTAAACACGTGTATAATTATGAATTGATACTAAAACCGTCGGTTCTTACGCGCAGCATAGGCTGCTATCTTTTTTTTCGCGAGCAAAGCAGTCTTGTCTTGGAATGAAAGAGAGATGTCTAAAACTCCGTTTATTTGGTTGAAAATTTAAACTTCAAATGTCGATCCTTTTCTTTTGCAACATGGGTTTTATGATAAAGCAGACTATGATTCATAATCCTTACTTTTCGCACAGGCAGTGTTATGCTTATTGCTGTAGATGAACCGATTGCTGCGGATCAAGAAAGGCACAATTTTTGCCCTTAAGTGGTATAATCAGCTTTGAAGAAGATTTAGTCACTGATAATTGAATTTTAAGACGCCTTCGAAATTTGCTGGTGCTCGATGCGTTTAATCGATAGGAATTTTTTGAAGTTCAAAATTTTAAGAAAAATCATCGAAGCTTTCAAAGGTTAGGAAATGAGAAACAATCATGGTATTTTAGTCATAATCTTCCAAGTTCATCTTTCTATGAATCTTGGCATCATGATGGACAATTATGTGCAGTTGTTGAGCCTTATAAGCCAAGATTGTTTAAGTCTTTATTAGGCTAACGTTTAGGCTTTTCGCCTTCGTCCTTCTTTTTAGGCTCTGACGAAGGCGAAAAGCCGAAACGTTAGCCTAATAAAGACTTTAACAATCTTGGCTTGTAAGGCTCAACAACTGCACATAATTGTCCATCAAGATGCCAAGATTCATAGAAAGACGAACTTGGAAGATTATGACTAAAATACCATGATTGTTTCTCATTTAGCAATCAGGGGGGGGTCGTAACCAGCGATCGTGTGCCACACCCCTTGCTTGACCCCGATTATTTGTGAGAAGAGTTACGGTGGTTCAAAGTCAAAGTTCGAAAAGAACTTTTGAAACAACCCAATAAGTTGAACCTCGTCCTACAGAGTAATACCTGAAGTTCGCCGAAAGACATGAAAGCTAGAGGGTTATTAACGATCATACAACCGTTCACATTACTCTTTTGGTACACCCTGTATAATTACGTGATTCTCAAAAGAGACGAGATTAGTTCGAAACGACAGTTTGCTTCAGGAATAACACCAAAAATGAAATTGAGCAAAACCTCTCATCAAGTCAGCTTCGAACTTTCAATGCCACCTTTATTTTTCTACATATGACATTGCAGAATCGACATGCCACAAGATTAGAAGCTCTAGTCAGCGCAAACATGTGACATCGCCTGATATCTTAGTAAGCACAAAGCATCTTATATCAACGATTCCAGGCGCTTAACATCATTATATTGATGAAAAAGTGGTACGATAGCACTGACAATTTCTATTCGCTCATGTATTGGCAAAGATAATGGTTTTAGTAGAGGGCGTACCAATTGAAAACGAAAGGCATCCGTACTAATAAATGATGCGAATTGCTATTGGCGGAGTCATTTTGAATCTTTGTGCACTTCTTCACGCTTTCGAGTTATTCCTCTCATTGTACATTCCTTAGCTGCATTTCTCAAACCAACCCAAAACGCAATAACGCTGCATTGGTATAACGCTGCATTGGTATCATTGCATTGCAATACTGTCTCGATAGTGACTCTCTCTTCAGAACCACACATCCTGAGCATTATTGGCACTTGAAAACTGATGCTTGAAAAGCTGACCTAACAGATAAGCATCATACAGTACCGTGCCTTTTGAGAAAAAAACGACGCACAGTCGCCCGATTCATGTGACATTACCGTCGCATGTCCATATCTCGCTTCAGTGTGGACGATTCTTAAACCAAGGACACCATTCGATTCAGCGGGTCGCGGCGCATCTTCTGATATATAGAAGTATCCGCTTGGACCAGGAAGCCAGACGCACGAATCGTTTTAGATTTTTGCTTACGGTAGGTTACTCGGTGCGCTTATTCATTGCACTCACTGGGCACTTACCGTGAGCAGGAAATTGGAACGCATCGTGAAATCTGGCCTCCTACTATATTCAAGCTGTTACTTCTATATCTTTAGATGCGCCGCGTTGAGCTGAGTTGAATGATGCCTTTGGATTAAATGTCCTCTTGAGGCGAGATATGGCCACGTTACGGCGATGTCACATGAATCGGGCGATTGTGCGTCGTTTTCTCCAAGACATACGAGCGGTACTGTATGTTGAAATGAGCTATCATGATACCAAGCCAAACAAAACAAGAAGTGCTAAATCTTTTTTATTATATTGCATTATATCGACATCAAATGAAATTTGCAAACTAATCATTTTCTTTTTTAGAAAATGATGCGTCATTTTGTTGCGTTTTCATTACTGTTATTCGTTTTGGAAATCTCAGTCGAGGCGAGCCTTATGCTTTGCGCCCCCCATCGTCCTAAATGCAAAGCACACTGCTTGGAAAGTGTATGCTGCTTATTTACTGCCTGTTTACTCAATTCGAATCATCAATTTGAATTCAGAAATGCCGAAACGGACAATGCAAATTCGTACCAATAGGACAAGGATTTGCCACGATTAAATGTGTTTGTGAGGATTGTCCCGGTGATCAACAGAGGAAGAAGCAGCTTCATTGAACAGATGCACGTCTTTTGAGCTTTTTGTGCAAAACACCAGTATGAAGTTACTATGATGCAAGTTATTTGATGTTTCCATCACACAACGATATTATTCAAGTTATCAGTAATATTCACAGCTTAACAATCTACAAGAAAAAGCTGGTATGCTTATTTTACCATGCTAAACAATCCTGTTCTTTGTCCCACTGTCAAATGTTCAAAATTAGTAGATTCATGGAAGTGCACGATGAATTACCAACTGAAAAACACACATTTGCGATCTCCGCGCCAGCCTGTCCATTGTCAGCATTATACCTGGTGCACGTCTGACCGTCTGCATACGCGCGTATGCACGCCGGCATAATACGTATGCACACTAGTTTTTCATGTGTAAAGAAAGTGCTAAGGTAACATACGGTCATCGCGGTAGCTCTACAAAAGTTCAGAACGTAAGTTTAGCTATTGAAACATATCAATTTTGTTTTAATGATAAACTGCTAGAAATTGTACAAGTGTTCTGAGAGGAATCGAAGATGTATGCAAAAAGCATTCAATATTATAACGCTTTCCTCAGAAAGAGATTGTCATACATCGCATTGCATACTTTATTGAAAGAGGAAATGATGTAGAAATCTTTGTGCATGTGATTCCTGATAGGACTCTGTAAGATACAAGTAATTTCAGAAATAATAGTTTGCATGTTTTATGCAAGCTTCAAAAAGACTTCTACATAATGTTTTGTGTACACGCGCATATGCACGAAAACATTATATGGGAGTTTTTTGACACTTATTCATGAAACACGTACAGTTTTTTTTTCAAAATTACTTGGATCACGGAATATAGGGAGGGGTCATCAATCTATTGAGTAGATCGCGCCAAATTGCAATTACGCATCTTCAAAAATCTGCTTGAAAGTAGAAAGAAATACTCGAGACGCAGATAACTCGCAATCAGATTATTTAGCGGTAAGTTTACACTCAAACCCGTGATTGTTTTCGGAATTGCTTCCCTTCAAGTATCCACAAAGGATGTCTACATAGACAAAACTTATATTAACGCACCACTAGTAGTACCAACGTTGACACTTTGTTCATATAACTCAGAAAAAAAACAAGCAATCTCTTTATTTTGGCCTTGCTTTTGAATCGCGCGCACTTTTCGGCATACACGATAGAGCATGTCAAATGTGTGGTAACCTGTCCGAAAAGCTTGTGTTCGACTAAATTGCGCTTATTCTTGGTGCTCGGTCTTGATTCGTCAAAAACGATATCTCCTTTGCTTTTTGCTTCAAAAAATGAAGTGTCTAGCCTGCTTCCAGACGGTCTGTGCCTGCCCTGGCTAGTGCACACAATTTTAAAATCTCGGATGAGGGGCTGGAATCGCGCCGTGCCGTAGCCACATAAATGCGCAGTATGGCCAAAATTTTGACGCCAGACTGCTTATTTTTCTTTTTGCTTATTTCCTTCTTAGCTTTACACACGGTCTCAGTTTCGATAACTTGTCATCTTTATATGTCGTGCATGCCGTTTGAAAACAAATAAAAATTTGCCGCTTTTACTTTCAGGTAAAGGAGGCAGGTGAACAATCTGGAGGACTCTGAAGTGAGCCTGCTATCTTCAGTGCTGTTGTATACTCCACTCTGTCTACATACGACAGGACTGAAGATAGCAGACACTTTAAATTCCTGCAATATTGCTAATCTGCCTAATTACCTGAAAGTAAAAGTGATAAATTTGGAAAAATTCTTTCTGAAGGGCATGCACGACTATAAAGGTGACATATCATCGAAACTTAGGCCTTGCGTGAAAATAAGAAGAAAAGTTGAAAAAACAAGCATTTTAGCGACAAATTTTAGCCGTACTGCGCACTTGTTGTAAGTACGCCGCTGCGGGACCCCAGCGCCTCATCCGAAACTTCAAAATTGTGTGTACTAACACACTTCGTACCGAGATCACTAGAGGAATGACGTCTACTATAACTTTCCTATCTCCCAAAATCTTTGGAACTAAGAGTCTCGAGCGTGAATTTTATCGACATTTTTCCAAACTTATAGCACAGAATGTGGCCTGCCAATCGTTACCTAAAATACGGCCAGATCATTTCAGATGATTATGTGTGTCATGCACGTATTGTTCACCTTTGGCGTCCTTATCCTGGATTTGAAAAGAGAGCCCTTCTGCTAAGTGTTTTCCATGTTTTTTCATCCTTTTGAATATCACTCTCCAATTGATAAGCGATAACAATCGGTCGGTCTCTTGCGTTTTTGCGATTGCAATTCCAAAATGGGGATTCCGAAGGAGGATAGTGTGTGCAGTGACACACATAATCATATGAAATGATTCGACTGTACCACCAAATCTTTGATAATTATCTGGTATATGTACAAAACATTTTTTAATCATTGGTCCTGTAGTTGGAGCAGGATATGACAATAACGGATACGTTGAAGACTGATAAGGGTCAAAATAACTAACGTTATCTTGTGTCTTGTAGGTGAAATTCCAATTTTGCAGAGTTATTGTTAGTGCTAACTCTGGCCTCAGTATCTTGCACCTAATACAGAGCACATTCAAGCAATGGAAGCATTGATAACGGAGCAGGGTACTTTTTTTGCAAAACGTATTCGCACCTCATTCAAACCTGAAATTATCACTCTCGAAAGTCTCAACAATTCGTTCAAGTTGCATTAGGCAAAAATTATATTTTCTTGCGTACAATTACCACGAACGTAAATATGCCATAGTAATGCCATAATAATGCCAAGCTCACGATTCAGCCATTTTATCGAATAGTTCTTTACTAGTTGATCTTTCGCTGGATCCTTATCTCCAACGAATTTTTAGTCATGAATTTTTTGTGTGGCTCGCTCGACTATGCTGAATTTGGCTTTGTTAAACATCTGATAGTTGAACTGAACGACAACAACTATTTCTGTAGAGCAGAGTTCAACTCAGATATACAGTATAGACCAAATCATCAATCACTCTTTATTACTGTAGGATTACGGTATGAACTTTGAGGAAGATTTTGGAAGAGTGAAAGCGATTCTTGCTTAAAAAAGAAAAACCGAAAAGTAAAAGCCGCTAAACCTAAATATGAGTAAATATGAGCTTTTATGAGTTATTTCAGGTTTAAGGAAACATCTGTTTTTCCAGTTTTCGTCAGAAATGTGATTATACCCTTAAAATAGCTCAGAAAAGTGGTGGAAAGTTTTTAGTGAAATCCGCACGCTGAAAACTTTACTACACAAACCGTTTTTTTTGAATTTCTTTCATCAAATGGCCTTTTTCATAGGCCATTTGATGGAAAAATGTGCTTTATGCTGATTTCATACCGTAATCCTACATTAATAGAGAGTGACTGATAATCCGGTCCATTTTGCATATCTATGTAAGTTGAACCTCGTCCTACAGAGTGATACCTGAAATTCGCCGAAAGACATGAAAGCAAGAGGGTTATTAACGACCAAACAGCCGTTCACATTTTTTTTTGGAACACCCCTTAATTACGTGTTTCTAAAAAGGGGCGAGATTAGCTCAAAAGCGACAATTTGTTTGAGGATAACATCAAAAATAAAATTAAGCAATTTCTCTCATCAAGTCAGCTTCGAACTTTCAATGCCATGTTTATTTTTCTACATATGACATTGCAGAATGGACACGCGACAAGATTAGAACTCTTAGTCAGCGTCAAACATGTGACATCGCCTGATATCTTAGTAAGCACAAAGCATCTTGTATCATCCAACTCCGACTGTTCTTTAATCTTGGCATAGATATGAACGATGTCGTATGATGTTGAGCAACACGACCAAGATGGCAACTTTTCTTTATTAACTTCGGCCAACGTTTCGGCGCAATCGCCTTCGTCAGAGCCTAGAAAGTCGAATACATAAGGATCCCATTCCTCAGACGTCAACGAAGAAGCAAGATAATTCACTTGGAAGCTAGTACGAAGGAAAGAAACAGAGCCACGGCTGAGCAATACTCACCTTAATCGTTGCATAGGGGGTACGAGGGACCACCATCTATGCAATAACTATACCTCTGCCCTATTTATAGTAATGAGGTGACCTGACCTAGCCTCAGAAACCGCAAAGGGCCTGATATGGCGCGAGTTCGTTGGTTATTGCAATACACTCCTCCTTCCGGTTCATTTTTGGAATTTTAGCGCTGATCCAAAACGCTTCCAAAGTCTTGCGCGATAGGACTTCGGGTTCATAGGACAAAATCGAGACCCCAATTTGTATTTCAGCATTTTCGTGTTGCCGTAAGCGATGACTACCGAGCGGTGTACTGGTCCTCGACTTGTTCAGTCCATCCAGATGTTCCTTAATGCGACAACAAAGCGGGCGCCCTGTTTCGCCTATGTACGTGTCGCCACATGATAAACATGTGATGATGTATATCACGCCTGCCACCATACAGTCTCCCTCTCTACCGAATGGACAAACTACACAGCCTGGAGTCAAGCAATTCCGATCATACGCTCTATTCCTGACCAATTGCCTCTTTAGGTTGGGCGGCGGAATATCGACCACTCTAAGCGCGTCTTGCAAACCCGCCTGATATACGCATCGCCGCACCGCGCTGCTTATATAGTCCGAGATGAAGGGCATGCAGAAAGGAATCTTATCCGTGGCGTCTTCCAAGCGAACTCTACTACTTACAAAAGCACGTGATCTAGGAGTACAGCTACTTGTTGTGTACCCATTTGACCTGGCTATTTGTTTGGCTAATGCTAAAGAGTAGGAACGCTCCTGGACACCCGATGAAACTCCAATAGCCGTTCGACACATGTTTCCAATCACGGACTGCTTGACTTTCTTTGGATGCGCGGATAAGTAATGCACTAAAATGTTCTTGCAGCTGGGTTTGCGGTACCACTTTGTTCTATAATCGCGAACTAGAGGGCGATTATAGAACAAAGTGGTACCGCAAACCCAGCTGCAAGAACATTTTAGTGCATTACTTATCCGCGCATCCAAAGAAAGTCAAGCAGTCCGTGATTGGAAACATGTGTCGAACGGCTATTGGAGTTTCATCGGGTGTCCAGGAGCGTTCCTACTCTTTAGCATTA